CCTCTCCACTTCCCCAAATATTTTCCATTTCATTTTTTTCTTCTCTAAAACCATATTTTTTTTATCCGATCTGAAGAGATCATAAATCTGCATATATTTCAATCATTCATATTCATACTGAATTTCATTCTGCTTTTTCATTACCCATTCTGTTCCCTCTTTTTTAATTAAGTCTCTGTATGGCAACCAATCCTTGTCTCGCTGTCTTGAGTACGATGTTAATACTTCTACTGGTACCATCCACAATGGTCTTACATCCTTAAAATATTTTTTATATCTTGTCCATACCACAAACAATGCTTTTCTTACCAAGTGAAGTTTAAAAAAGCTATCCATTTTTATCTTATCATACCATAAATATGCATGCCAACCAAACCTACAGTCATGTCCCTCCAACCCCAATAGCTTATCATTCTCAAGCTTCACCCATTGTTCCATCCAGGTTAGACAGACCGCTTCATAGTATAGTCTAAGATTTGGTAGCTGCAGTCCTCCTCTTTCTTTCGCGTCACAAAGTATTTTCATTTTGATCCTCGGTTTTTTGCCTGCCCAGACAAACTTTGATAACTCTTGTTGCCATTTCATCAGCAAATCTGTTTTGTTTAATATTGGTATTGTTTGGAACAGGAACATCAGACGTGGTAGGACATTCATTTTAATAACTGAGATTCTTCCCATCAAAGATAGATTCATGGTATCCCATTTCTTAAAGTCTTGAGTTAACTTAGCCCATAATTTCTCATAGTTATTTTTATATAAGTCTATGTTTCTTGCCGTTAACTCAATTCCTAAGTATTTCGTTTTCTTAACTACTTCACATTGTACCAGGTCTTGTAGCTCCACTTGATTCTGTTTGGTCATATTCTTGCAAATAAGTTTTGTTTTATTCTTATTCACATAAAATCCGGCCAGTTCTCCAAAGTCTTTTATCTTTTGGAATAGTAATGGTAATTCTTCTTTTGGGTTTTCCACAATAAACATTACGTCGTCTGCAAATGCTCGATATTTATATTTGAAACCTTTATGCGTCAAACCCTTTATCTCTTGATCCTGTTGTATTTTTTGTAAAAGTATCTCAAGTACCCATATAAATAACAACGGTGACAAAGGGCAACCCTGCCTTGTTCCTTTTTGTACCTTGAAGTTATCTGTCAATTCTTTATTTACATTCAATTTTGCTCTTTGTTCAGAGTAAATTGCTTCAATACAATTTCTAAACTGTTGTCCCGTCTCCAGTTTCTCCATCATTTGAAGCATAAAGTTCCAATTAAGATTATCAAATGCCTTCTCCGCATCAACAAACAAGAATACAACTTCTTTTTCAGGGTGTTTTTCATAGTATTCCATCGCATCCATTACTATTCTTAAATTGTCTCTGATCTGCCTTTTTGGTAAAAAACCAGCCTGGTCATCTGATATTACTGTTTGCAAATAGTTTTTCAGCCTTTCAGCAATGATTTTTGCAAAAATTTTATAGTCATTATTCAAAAGCGAAATTGGTCTATAGTTTTTAACATTTGTTAAGTCTTGTCCTTCTTTTGGTATCAGTGAAATAATTGCTTCTTTCCATGTGTCCGGCACTTTTTTTGTCTCTCTTATTTCGTTGGATAAAGCTTCCAGGGCCGGGGCTACTTCTCCTTTCACTTTTTTATAAAATTTGGCAGTAAATCCGTCCGGTCCTGGCGCCTTCCCCAACTTCGCATCTTCTATTGCCTTAATCACTTCTTCCTTTTGGATCCGACCATTTAATAAGTCTTTATATTCACTGCTTACTTTAGATAGTGGAGTCTCCTCTAGATATTTTTTAATCTTCTCAAGATCAGCTCTGGTTCCTTGAAATAATTTTGCATAATACTTGAAGAAACTTCTCTTTATTCCAATAGGAACAACGAATTCCTTTCCATCTTCTATTATTTTGGTAATCATTCTTCTTTCTTTTCTAGCCTTGAGTTGCCAAGCTAAATACTTTCCCGGTTTGTTTGCCCCTTCAAAGGATTTTTGCTGTAACTTCTTTAAATTCCAATAGAGTTCTTGGTTCAGTGTCACATTCAGTTGTTCTTTCAACAACTGTAATTCTTTAATAATTTGCTTTTTTCCAGGTTTCTTTTTTAATTCTTTTTCCTTCTGAGATATTTTTTCCAACACATCTGCTTGTTTTTGAAATTTTTCCTTTTTTTGCTTCACGTTCTGCGAGATGAGAATTCCTCTCATCACCGCTTTGTAGGCATCCCACACAACCTGTATTGGGACTTCTTTGTTTAGATTTTGTTGAAAAAATAATTTTGTTTCTTCTTTTAACATCTCTACCACATCTTTCTTATCCAACAAATCTTCATTTATCCTCCATAGAAAAGATTTACTCCTTTCTATGGAACTCCACGAGACAGGATTGTGATCTGAATTACATCTTGGCAAAATTTCAATTTTATGTGTTTTCATCGATAATTCTTCTGACATCCAAATCATATCGATTCTGGAAAAAGAGCAGTGTCTATTGGAATAAAAAGTGAAGTCTTTTTGTGTCGGGTTCCATTTCCTCCAAACATCCTCTAATTTTTCTTGTTTAACTAATTCAAAGAAATTTTTTGGCAGTTTTCCACTATTTTCGTTGCCCTTTTGCGGTTTTCTGTCCAAACTATCTACTGTCCCATTAAAGTCTCCGGCCATTATGACTTGATCATAAATTTGTTCTTGTACTTGTTCTTTTAAATCCTTAAAAAATTTCTCCTTTGCTCCATTGGGTGCGTATAAATTGATCAACAATGTCTTTTTCTGCTGAATCATCACTTCCACACCCACATATCTTCCCTCCTTGTCTTTAAAAATTTCTTTAGGCTGTAATTCATTCTTTACATACGTCACAACTCCTTTCTTCTTGTTCGAGGCCGAAGAATAAAATTCTATTCCAAATATAGCATTTTTTAAGTGTTTTACATCTTGTTTTCTGATATGAGTTTCTTGCAAGCATATCACATTACATTTTTGTTTTTGTATCCAATGATTGATTCTTTTCCTCTTGTTTGGTGAATTTAATCCATTCACATTCCATGACAACAATTTGTAATCCATTATGCGTTTTAATTTAAAGGTCTCCAAAATCATCTAAATTGTCCCCCTTGAATTTGTAATAGTCATTTAACGATCTGATCAGGATCCTCCCTCCTTTGTAGGTAAAAGATAAACCCTGTGGAATTTCCCACCTGTACCTAATGTTCAAGGCCTTCAGTTTGTCCGCCAAAGGTTTATACCTTTTTCTGTCTTGAAGTATTGCTCTTGGGAGTTCTCTCATCACCATGATTTTGTTTCCTTCCATTTCAAACGGAACAGTAAATTGTTTTTTAAAAATATCTTCCGTTGTTGTTCTTGTTACAAATTGTACAATTACATCTCTTGGTAAATTTTTCTTTTCCGCAATTCTGGAGTTCACTCTGTAAATTAAATCAAAATCCGAATCCATTGTCCCTTCATCATCCCCCAAAAATAATGTTATGGCCTTCATCATTTCCTCTCTTATATTTTCTTTTTCTTTTTCTTTGATGCCTCTAAATCTCAGATGAGTTTGCATCCTCCTGAACTCCATCATTGTTTCAGATCTTCTTAGTTGCTGAGTCAAAGAATCTTGATTCATTTCCATTTGTTGTATTTTTTCTTCTGTCTCTGTTGCCTTGGTTGCAGTAACTTGCATCTCTTTTTTGACTCCTTCCATTTCTTGCTTGATTGAAGTTATTTCTGATGTAACCAGTTCCTTTATTGCTGTTATATTTTTTTCCTGGACTTCCTCAAGTTGTTTAGTGAAAGCCAACACTTTGTTAACTACTTTGTTTCTGGTGTGTTACTGTTAACAGCGAAAACAAAAATATTAAAGGGGACCTTCCTTCTAAAAAAGAGCGACAACTTTTTTCTTATTATATTGCAAATTATTTTATGGTTAAACCAGACAAGATGCTGGAAGATCCATGATTGGACCTTGCCAGTTTTTGTTCATTCGTTTGTTTTTTTAAGGCAAGTTGGAGTCACCTATTTATCACACGGTTACCTTGCCTTTCCTCCAAGGAGCTCAGCTGACAGTTCTTTCCTCCTCCATTGTTAAGGTCACAACAACCCCGTGAGGTAGGTTAGTCTGACAGAGCGTGTTGGCCCAAGATTCATAGCTGAATCTTAGGAATTTGAAGCTGGGCAGAGCTGGCATCAGCATACTGAGGTGGGCAGCTGCCTGGCCACAGGACTTCTAATGGGGCTGTTGGTGACCCCCATGCACCTCCCTGCCACCTGCACATGTGCCTTTCCCTCCACATTTGCTTGCAGGTGCGTCACCACCCATGCTCCCAACTTCCCAGCATTGATGGGGAAGCACAGGCAGGTGGGGCACAGCAGTTTCCTGGTAACCACAACAACAGCATTACCAGCTGCATGCACTAGTCAGTCATAGAATCATAGAGTTGGAAGGGACCTCCAGGGTCAATGCAGAAATTCACAAATACCTCCACCCCACCCCAGTGACCCTTGTTCCACACCCAGAGGATGGCAAGAAACCTCCAGGATACCTCGCCAAACTGGCCTGGAGAAAAATTGCTTCCTGACCCCAAAGTGGTGATCAGCATTTCCCTGGGTGTGTAAGAAAGGGCCACGAGAACTAAGCACTGAGGCAACCCTGCCTGAGTTCACAGAATCCGCATTGCTGTCAGAGGGCCAGCCTCTGTTTGAAAACCTCCAAAAAAGGAGCGCCCACCACCTCCCGAAGAAGCCTGTTCCACTGAGGAACCACTCTAACTTGTCAGGAAGTGCTTCCTAATATTTTCCTGGTAACCACAACAACAGCATTACCAGCTGCATGCACTAGTCAGTCATAGAATCATAGAGTTGGAAGGGACCTCCAGGGTCAATGCAGAAATTCACAAATACCTCCACCCCACCCCAGTGACCCTTGTTCCACACCCAGAGGATGGCAAGAAACCTCCAGGATACCTCGCCAAACTGGCCTGGAGAAAAATTGCTTCCTGACCCCAAAGTGGTGATCAGCATTTCCCTGGGTGTGTAAGAAAGGGCCACGAGAACTAAGCACTGAGGCAACCCTGCCTGAGTTCACAGAATCCGCATTGCTGTCAGAGGGCCAGCCTCTGTTTGAAAACCTCCAAAAAAGGAGCGCCCACCACCTCCCGAAGAAGCCTGTTCCACTGAGGAACCACTCTAACTTGTCAGGAAGTGCTTCCTAATATTTTTTTTTTAATTTAAACTTTCAAGTTCTTCTTAATGTTTAGCCGAAAACGCTTCTGGTTTAATTTCAATCCGTTGGTTCTGGTCCCACCTTGCGGGGCAACAGAAAACAGCTCTGCACAGGGGTCATTTGGGGCTGGAACGAGCCGGAACAGCGTTTCAGCAGCCCAGGAGCGGGCACAAATGGCAGTGGCAGCAAGCAAACTTTATTTGTGATTTCAGTGAGAGCAAAGACAAGACTCCAGAGCTTCAGCTCTGTTAAATACTATGCAGTTGCCACTCCCAAAGACACCCCTCTCCCAGTGATAGGCTATTTACATAACATTACTACTTGACTGGTTTATTCCAGTGTCCTGGTAGGCTATTGTTCTTGTGCTCCAAGCTCAGCCAGTTTCAATCCCAGTACATATCAGGCCCCCAGCCCTGGAACCAGCATCAGGTCCAGGTGTGCTGAGTCCTACTCTGACATTCTAACCACTACACCACATTGCTAAAGAGCACTGAACAAAAGAAAACCTACTGCCACCCCCCCCCTCCTATCCCAGGTTTTTTTGGGCTCTGGCAAAAAAACCCAAAAATACAAGAACAAGGCTGGATCCGGCCAGTCTTTTTTTCTCAGTCTCTCCTGATTCCACCCCTAACCAAACCCCCACACACACGTCTTTTGTCCATGGATGTCTTGTGATCCCCAGCGACACCCAGTGTCAAAGGAGATCCTTTCCTGCCTTTTACACCAGACCAAAAAACGGGTTCGATCCAACGCAGGAAGAGGGAGCCGGTCTTGTTTCCCCCTTCCATGATTAATAATAGCCCAGCATGTGGGTCCAGTTTCAACTAGAGCACCACTTTGACTAGCATGCAGGAAAGGTACACGCTGTCCTTGAATATGGAGGTTCTATTTGGCTTTCCCAGGTAAAGTCCCCTGATGGAATCCTCCATGCAATCAACTAATCCCCTTTTAAAGCTGTGGAAGCCAGCTGCCATCTCAGTCCCAAAAGATAACAGTAATGAATCTTGTGAAGGACCACCTTCTTTAGCCTGTCCTGAATGTCCCGTCTTGTCGATGACATTGATTCACACTCTGTGTGAGGGAAGTGCCATTAGGTCACAGACTGATTTATGGTGACCCCTGTAAGGTTTTCAAGGCAAGAGACATTCAGAGATGTGATGTTAAAGGCTTTCACGGCTGGAGTTCATTAGCTGTTGTAGATTTCCTGGGCTATATGGCCATGATCTTGGCATTGTAGGACCTGACGTTTCGCCAGTGCTGTGACTGGCATCTTCGGAGGTATAACACAGAAATATGGAGTACTCTCTGTGTCAAGGCGAGAAGAAAAATGGTAGGCAGGTAATTTATAGGTGGGGTAGGGCCGAGTCATCTTGTAGGAGTTCCCCAGGCTGTGAGCATGCTAATGGAGGAGCTTTCCTGTTTCCTGAGGACGTTCTTTTGTATGTGGATTGGCTGTTCAAATTCTAATCTTATCTGTAGTGCTTTTGTCAGATATAGAGCCTTTTGTGTTTTTCAGGACAGGAAACCATCCCCCATCTCTGCGTATTCTCTGCGGGATCTCCCATACAAATACTAACCAGGGTTAACCCTGCTTAACTTCTAAGATCTGAGGAGACTAGGTTAGCAAGCTATGTAAAGGTAAAGGTAAAGGTTCCCTTGCTCGAAAGCCAGTCGAATCCGACTCTAGGGTTGCGGTGCTCATCTCCGTTTCAAAGCCGAAGAGCCAGCGCTGTCCGAAGACGTTTCTGTGGTCATGTGGCCGGCATGACTAAACACCAAGGGGCACGGAACGCTGTTACCTTCCCACCGAAGTGGTCCCTATTCATCTACTTGCAATGTCTTGCTTTCAAACTGCTAGGTTGGCAGGAGCTGGAACTAGAGACAGGAGCTCACCCTGTCTTGCGGCACCCAGGTCTTGAACCGCTGAACTACTGACCTTCCACAGCCTGCAGTAATCTCAGTGTGAAAGGTGGACTATAGCCAATGTACATAAATAAGACCCATCAAGCACACTAGGTGCCTCTGAGGGTTGCCAACCTCCAGGTGGTGGCTGGAGATCTCCCAGGATTACAGTTGATCTCCAGGCGACAGAAATCAGTCCACCTGAGAAAACGGCCACTCTGGAAGGTGGACTCTATGGCATTGTACCCCACTGAAGTCCTTCCCCTCCCCAAACCCTGCCCTCCTCAGGCTCCCCCCCCCCACCAAAAAAAATCTCCAGGTGTTTCTCTACTCGCAGCTGGCAACCCGAGTTGTAGCATTATGTGAGAAAAGAGTTCTCTCTACCATGATGTAATTGCAGAAACCTCTATCGTGTCCTTCGTTTTAATACAGCTAGAAAGGTCTCTTTGGTGATGGGGGGGGGGGGGGGGTGGAGACTGAATCCCTCTTGGCACAAAATGGGCGCTTAACGGCTTGGTGCTGCTAAAAAAAGAGGGCCTGATTTGTAAATATGTGATTCCCTTCCTCCCCCCTCCTTTGGAAGAAACTACATGCAAATAAAAGCCTTTCCCCGCTATCGGAATCTCTTCCACCGTTGCATAAATTATACCCGGCCGCCCCGCCTTCGTCCCACCTCTTGACCTCCCCGAGCACCGCCCCTTTGACAGTTGGTAACGCCCCCTCCGGGTTTTCGCCCTTTGGCCCGCCCCTCACGCTACGTGCAGAGGCGTGGCTTCGCCGCCGCCGCCGGGGCCTGGGACCCGGATGGCCGTTTAGTCGGTGCTTAGACGCCGAGGCTGCCACTTCGGGCCTTGGACAAATTACAAAGCAGGGGGAGGGGGGGGATAAGTGTAATCCGCCTCCATCCTCCGCCTAGGACTCCCTTCCGCCCCCGGGAAGCTCGTATCCGGAGAGAGCGGACCGAGCCCGATCCGACGAGGTGGGTATCGGCTTGGTTGGTCCCCGGCAAGCCCGTGCTGGGACGGCCAGAAAGCGGCGCTGGTGCAAGCTAAAGGGAATGGGTCGGGGTGAGCCGGCAGAACGTTCAGGCCTCCGCCATCTTGTCCCAGGCTTCATCGTTGTCTGTGTCTGTTGCCCAACCGAATCCGTGGCCATCCGCCCCCCAGGCTGCGCTCTGGACTCCCCCGAATCAGCCCTGCCCTTCCCCGGGCGCTGCCCTCGTTGCTTCGGGTGGGTATTTGCCCCATTGGCGGCGGGGGGGGGGGCAATTGTTAACCCAAGGGGAGCCTCTGGTTTTTTAAAAAAAAAGCCGAGAAAGGGGGGCTCCGTTCTGAAAGACGCGCCCGGCCCTCGAGTCACTCCCGCCCTGCATTGACTCCCCTCGGGAAGAGAAGGAGAAAACGGTTGGGGAGGGAGGGGGAGGCGTCATTAAAGGGGGGGCTGTAAGAGGCCTTCTAGGAACTGGAGACGTAAATTGGATTTCACGTATGCCCCCCACCCCTTTTGGGGGGGCTAAAGAAACTACCGGGATTTAAGGGGAGAGGAATGGCCTAAA